ACCTGTGCTGCTACTGGCTGACGCTCCAGGCGCCAATGGTGCGGACGCGCTCCCGAGGAATGACTGCATGGACGCGAATGGACTGGTTGCATCAGGGCGGAAAGGATTTGCACCTTCCATGTTTGCGTTTCCGGTGAAGGTAGGAAAGTATGTGGCTCCCAACAAAGGCTCAGTTTGTTGAAAGTACTGACCAGTATCACCAGTGGCACCTTGACCTCTATGAAACATGTTACCTTCGTGCAGGTGTCCTGTTCGTCGAATGCGGTCAGTCAGCAAATTAAACTCATCCTGATTCTCTGGAAGACGACCGTCATTGTGGAAAAGGAGTCGGTCCCACTGATCAGGTCCTATTCCTAACGCGTTCAGCAAGATCCAGCTCAGTCCATTGTAGTTGACTGCCATTCCTGCTCGGTTGGCAGCTCGGTTCCTGAGCACATCAAAACGGACTAAGAAGGCATCTACCGGTTCATGCTGCATGCGACGGATATGGATGAGTTCACTGATGGCACGCGTGCTGATCTCAGCTTCCAGAGGGCCGTATCTGGTTATCAGGGTCTCTGCAAGCACCATGAGCCCTGCTGTGTGGGCTCCAGTTTGAGGGTCGACACGTCCATTTTGCAACACATTGGGTGGAATTTCTCGGACCAGCTCTCTCGCGGCCCCGCTGATTTGCAAGGCGGCTATTGGACCTTGTCGAGCGGGTTCAACATCTGTGCTGGCCGACCATAGAATCAGGTCGGACAGCCAGGCCCGAAGCGAGTACCAGTGGGCACGCTCTGCCGACCATGCTGGTGGCACTTTGAGCGTGGCTGTTCCCACATATGGAGGACCAGCGTCCCCCACATGTGCATGGCTTCTGGGTGGATGAGGTCTTGGGCCAGGATGCATCATACACCCGAAACAGCTCAGCATACCCATCAGCGAAATTGCACAGAACAAAAAGAAAAATGGCGTCCTCTTCAATGTGATTCGGTTGCGAAAATTATGACTCCAAAAAACACGCAAGCGATCCACAACCACACCATAGTTCATGTCAGGCATTTCACGACCATCGGTGTCAGTACCCTGTTCATTGATCTCGATCAAAGATCTTCCGAATTCATCTTGGGCGTTGGACTCATGACTGCTCTCAGCATGGGTGCTGCTGCTCCCAATCATGCTCATGTGACTGCTGTTGCGACGACCTGGTAAAGGATCACCACTCATGAGGGATTCATGCAAGTCCAATGCTTCATACTGTCTGGTTTGTTCTTCGTCCATCAACTGCTCACGAGCCAGCATTTGAAACACTTCTCTGGTCGAAATGTCAGTTCCCAGAAGTTCCATGATCCTATGCTCAACAGATCGTTCGGCTTTGTCGGTTGCATTACTCAAGACATTGTCAAGCAGGGCTGTAATGGCTTTGGAATCAACACTACGATTCGCACGATGCATCCAGGTTGTCACATTAGTGAGTTCAGGAAGGCTCTCATTTCGAGACACCGTGCGAAATTCAGCAGATTCAAAACCAGTGATTGGCAAGTCAAGGAGTGCGGACACACTTAGCAACATGGTCAACAGCATGAAGAGCAAGACTCGGAGATGGCAGCACAACCCTGTTACGGAACACACGGGCGCCGCTACCAAATCAAAATGAGGCACAACATGGGATCCCAGCACCAAACATGACTCTGCTGCCGCCTTTCCCTTTTCCAATGCCTGGGATTCAAGCTTCGGAACCTGGTCATGCAAACGTCGAGCACATGCAGGGGCCATGCTAATCTTCTCGGTGAACGAACACTGCCTAAGGGCTTCACTTGCACTGGGAATTGGGCCGCGGTCTTGCGGCATTTGATCATCAGGTTTTCAACTAGCAAACAGCTTCAGCTGCATCTGTCTGTCATCGAGTGAATGATGTGATGGATAACTCATGTACATTTTGATTGATAATGTACATTGGTCCGTAGCTTACACTCTATTCGCAGGTATATATATATATATAGAGTTTATATTTATATAGTATATGATGTGTATATATAATATGTTTATATACTATGTATATATATATATGATGTTATGTGTGTAATATCTGGAGTAGTATATAACTGGTGATATCCCTCATACTCGAGATATTGCACATATACTCTACATTCTACATATATGTAATGTGCAAATATCATATTAATAATATATTAATTTATATATATAGTACTGCGTATCCCTTAAAATCCATGTATGATATGTAGAATTACATGACTATATAAAAAATATGTATGCAACATTTTTCTATATTATTTGTGTTGTCATCTGCAGCTGTTGGGGTCCCGAATAAACTAAGTTGATGAACATTGACCTGCATTCTAGGTGTCTTTAGGTAAATGGCATCCAATGTTGGGGTGATTTTGCTGCAACTTGTGACGAAAATTCGGCTGCTGGCAAGTTTGTGGGGCAGTTAGGCCAGATTTGTCTTTCAATTTCGACCATAATGCAGATGTTGAAAAAGTCTAATACAGATGTTGACAAGTCGGCCACTTTGCGTGCTCAATGTTGTCCCCTTTTGGGGTATCGTCCAACATCACAAATATCTTAGTGAAGTCTGATCCATAATCATCTCGTTTGGCTCAATATGGGTCTGGATCAAGATTCAAGGCCCATAACACCGCGGATGTGGGTCACTTTCAATGGCTAGATATTACCCTCTGGCTATTTAACGTTACTATGGAAAATCATCTGGGAAATCACCATTTTGACACGTAATTCATCATGTTTATCATCTATAAATGGGTTATTTTCCATAGCTATGTTGAATAAACAGAGGGTATGTGTCCTGTTTTAGGGGTACCCAATTCTGACCCAAGCTGGTAGACCTTGGCCACATGCCGCGCACGGCGGTCGGACATCGGCAGCACCGCGCGTCCATGGCGAAGTTCATGCGCTTCCAACAGCAAGCGATTCAGGGCGCAGCCCGGCCTGGTGGTAAGGAAATCATGGCGATTTTTGGTGAGTATAATAAATATAATATAAATATATTATATAGTGAATATAAATATACTAAATCTATCCTACTAAATACACTTAAAAATATAGTATATTAGGCAATAAATATACTATAAAATATAAGTGTATGAATCCCATCCCCCTATCAAACGCCCAGAAACCATGGGGGGATCCATCGATGTTACATGATTTTACCATCAAACACAGGGCCTTCAAAGTCCCTTCAACTTGGGGATCATCATTAAGCATGATACGAACATATAAAGGACAGATAAATCAGTTACCATATTTTATTGGACATAAGTTACCATACCATATGTTCGTAACATGATACAGATATACACATAAATATTGGGCATACGCAGAAACAAGTTATATTCAAAACCGTACGCCGTAGAGCAGATTCGCACTCTCATATTTGGGCATATCAGAACCAGCAGATTAGTTTCGTACCTCGAAATCCCAAGCGCAGCCACTGCCAGGCACCACGGACACCATCGAATGCGGCGTCGCGGCTGCGACGAGGCAGCGTGGAGGCACATGGTGCTCAGAATTTCATGGGGGATCATCTCAAATAGAGTTGAAAACGACAAACATGAACCAAAAATTGAAACTATCCAACAGTGATGGGGTAGGTCAAAACCCTGGTATCCCAGGTACCTTAAAATATCTGGTTAACAATTGGTTATTCCCCCAAATATGGCAATAAGTTTTACTTGTCCCTATGGCAATATGACTTTCTTAACTCACTGGCATCACCGGCGCTGACGTGCAGAAACTGCACGACCACCTTGATAAATCTAAGGTGAGCTCTACAGCAAGGTGGTCCCAAGATTCGTTGAGCCCGTTGGTGACTCTGGCATTTGACATGGTGATCCAACAACATCGTAGTATAATAAGAAAAATTACAATCCCAGAAATCTCAAAAAAATGATGATGTGAAATTGAGAAAATATTGAGTAAATTATCCATGTTCTTGCTAACCAGCTATTGGATCTATTGGGAGGTTATTTCTGCAACTGGCATGCATGACAGTTGCATACAATGGCTGGAGTGGCTGAAAGCTGCAAACGGCACTCAACGGACTAGTGGCATGCAACTATTGACAGGTCAATAAGTGGGCCACGAACTTCGGATGTCATTAAGAAATGAATTTGCAACCCAGCAGGAAAATGTTGTACAATCTGAATCTAAACCTGGATCACACTGACATGTTTCATTCTAGATTTCGCAAACGCATTTGCATCTGGAGGAGAGTTCACAACTCACCTATCTACCACATCAACATGTTCCAGAAAACACACCTAATTTTACCCAAAGATTTCTTTGTGAGTAATTACGTTTCCCCTTTCTTGGTGCTGAAACATAATAAACATATCCAGTGGAATGCGCAGCAACCATGGCCTCAAATCGCAACAACCAGGCGCAAACTCCAAACATGTTTTTCGTCACCAAATGTGCAATGCTCCAGCCAAAGCGGGGAACTTCTTGGAGGCACCCCTGAGGTTGACGATGGGCAAATCTGCAAAATGGATATGTGACAGATGCCAAAGCTGAAACTCGAGAAACAACACATGGCCCAACTGTAAAAGCAGACTCAATGTCTTCAGCCAGCCAACTATCCAATCTGAACGCACCCAAATCAGGAAAACTTCATACATTAGATGCAAAAGATTGCTAAAGGATGAGGTGCAGGGGGCCACATCCATACATCCAATGGTTCATGAGTTCATGGCGAAATTTGCCAAATACCAGTATCACGAATCCCTGCGAGATACCTAACACACCAGCGTCCAGTTCCCACGCCCTAAATTCCCAAGGCTCACCTGGCATTTTGGCGATCTGATGGTAGGTGTTCGGTTGAGCGGCGATGCGGCCAACCACCTGCACGGCAGACACCCAAACTTGAAGCGAACAAGTGACAGGCCGGGAGCACTCGCTTTCACTTCCCTTGTGACTTTTCACAATGATTCGGGCGACCAAGGAACAATGTGCACAGATTGGATCATACAGCGGTGCTTTTT